TTAAATACAGTTCCTCATGTTGTGACCCAACCATAAAATTATTTGGCGTTGCTACTTCATAACTGTAATGTTGCTACTATTATGAATCGTAATGTAAATATCTGATATGCAGGATGGTTTTAGGCGACCCCTGTGAAAGGGTCGTTTGACCCCCAAAGGGGTCGCGACCCACAGGTTGAGAACCGCTGGGTTAGGGCCACTTGCAACGTTTTAAACCACAAAATGAAATTACGGGCAACCTCAGGGAATCCGGTCTGCCCACTTCTAACTGTCACCACCTCCGGGAAGGGTACTCCACAGCATTCATCATCGCTTCGAATAACGGGCTTCTGCCCAAGTCCTGGTGAATGCACAGCCCCCCGGAGTCCGTAGGCCAATCCATGACCCCCTTCCGAGCGGCTGCCGGCTCACCCGCCGCAGGTCCTCTGCACAGGCTGTGGGTCTCCTGCCTGCACGGCCACCCCCTCACCCCCAGGCCTCTCCTCCCGCCCCTCCTACAAGCCCGCTCCCACACTTCTGTTCGTCGTTTCACATTGACTCGTGCCTTCCCTCCTGAGGGTAGGGATGGAGCCTATGCCTTTCATCACTCCGACCCCCCTTACTTCCCCGGGCACAAGCCGTGCAGGTCAGGCTTCCGGGAGTCACTGCCCAGGGCCTGGCACGCACCTGCTTATTGCAACCAGGAAATCAGGGAGCATGTCAAGGCCAGAGAGAGGGGAGGGTGTCTCCTTCCTTAGACGAGGGCCATCCAGGCAGAAGGAAGTCGGACAAACTTGCAGAACACCCTGGCATATCAGCTCGGCCCACTCCCGCGTCCACTCGTGGGGGCGCGGCGCCTTTAAGGATCCCGGAAACGGGCCGCCAGACCGGAAGTGACCCTCTTTATTTCCCCTCTTCACGTGGTGCAGGCGGGAAGTGACGCGCGGGGCCCCGGGAGCTGCGGACGCGGAGGCCGACGGAGCGGGAGTCGCGGACGCCGCGGGGTCTCCGGGACAGGTGACCGGGAGAGGGGGCCGGGAGCGCGCCCGGAGAGGGCGGGGCCTGACGCCCCACGTGGAGGCAAGTGAGCGCGGGCAGGGGAGCCAGCAGCCCGCGGGGGCGGGATCGGAGTACTCTGCGGGGGGCGGGGACTGGACGCCCACATGGGAAGCTAGTGGGGCGCTGGCGGGGCGGGACGATGGCGAGTGGGCAGGGCCCCGGCGGGCCCGGAGCGTGGACGAGCAGCGGGAGGGGGTGAGGCCGAAAAGTTATGCCCGCGCTGGGGGGCGGGGCCAAAAGGTTGCCCCGAGAGCTCGGGGGCGGGGCCGGGGCGCTGGCTGGAAAACGCTGGAGGCGGGGCCAGAAAGTTTTGCCTGATCTGGAAGTGGGTCCAGGTCCCTGGCGGGGAAGTCAGGGGCGGGTCTAGAGGCTGACGCGAAGGCGAGGGCCGGATCCAAAAGTTGCCGGGGGATTAAGGGGCGGGGCCAGGGTCCTGGCCGGGGAAGTGCTGGGGTGGAGCCAGAAAGTTTTGCTGGAGCCCGGGGGGCAAGTTCAGAGCTTTGGCGGGGAAGCCGGCAGCCCTGTGGCTGGGGGGGGCCGGGAGTGGGGCCCAATATTGACTCGACCTGGAAGGGGCGGGAGCCAGGGGGCGTGGCTAGAAAGTCGGTTGGTTAAGCCGGAGGCGTGGCCGGTGAGAGCTGGCGAGCCGGGGGCGGGGCCGGCGTAATAACGCGAGAAGGAGGGGGCGGGTTCCAGCTGTTGCTTAGGGACGGGGGGGT